TATAATAATTGACAAATGCTTGATATTCTTTTTATATTGAAACAAGTTTAATAATTCATGATGTGCTGCTTTCTTTATCGCAAGCAATTATTACCTTGTTAAATTATATTTTTCAGTTTAAAGTCAAAAGTCAAATATACAAAAATTATACACACATATATATATATTTTAAATTATTTTTTACTTGGTCTTCCATGAAAGACGTAGAATTATATAGAGTGAGTTTAGCTCCTTAGTAATGTTTCGACCAACAAAAAATAGAAGATTTGTAGTAGTCTTGGGGCAAGGCTAAGGAGCAACTAAGATAAATCTTGAGAAGCCAAAAAAAAAAAATCAAAATTTTATTCTTCATAAACAATCATAATTTTATTTGTTTTATTGTTTTAAATCTTTGAATTGTGTTTCTTTGTAGCATTTATTTATTTTTAGGTCAAAATTTCAAATTAAATTTAAATATTACAAGAATTATTTTTTAGTCCGACACAGCACCAAACATAGGTCTTCACTATTTTTACAACTCAGCTTCTTAGTCCGACGCAGCACCAAACGTAGGTCAGTACTTAATCCAGCTTAGTCCAATCCGAGCTAATCCAAGACAGTCCCAGGATTTAGTCCAGTCCATGACAGTCCGCCGTACCAAACGACCCCTAAAGGGATGGGCCAACTTCCCAAAGTGATGGGCTATCTTTTCTAAGGTAATGGGCTATTTTCTCTCCTTTATGTTTACCCGCATATTTGGGCTCAAGAAATGGGCTTGAGTTTCAGGGCTCCCAAGCAGCCCAAAACTTCCATTTCTTGGCTCATCAATGGGCCTTATGAAAACTCGTAACCATCCATTCCACAACCCGCTCAGCAAATCTCACACATTCACGTGGCTTGGGCCCACTTAAGCTTGTAGCGTGGCGTATTGCTTATTTGCTTGGCGTGGCACGTGTGCAAGTGTATTGTTCATCCGTTTAGATGCCTAGGAAATGATGTGGGCCTTTGTTTTCGGCGTGCCAAATTTAAGCCCAAACATGTATATGGCGAATTCTTGCGTACCCAAATTGGGTTTCTTCCCAAGTTAGGTGTCGTACTAGGCTAGAAATATATTTGGGCCCAGCCTTGGATTTTTTGGGCCTCAACACCGACAAATAATTGCCCGAATAGACCTGACCCAATGAAATTTACCTCTGCC